CCCACACACCGGAGTTGGTCCTAGACTCTACCCTTTCTCAATGACTGCTCCAACCCCCAGGCTCAAAGCCCTGGGTTTGAGCAGGCTTGCTATGGGGAGGAAGTGAGCTCACTAAACCTTGAACTCTGCATAAGGAACACTAAATTATAAGAGGTGCCAGAAAGTGCTGGCGAGATGCCTCTGGCCCTACTATTTCAGAAAGCAATCCTCAAAGCATGGAAGCCAGTGATATAAGCCGCCTTAGTTTCATCCATCTTCTGATGGCCAACCAGCGAGAGCCCATTCTCACTCCTGACAGGAAGATAAATTCCTAGGGCCAGGATGTTAAAAAAAAAATGAATAAAAAGCTTGTAGTATATCATACCTCCTTCCCACTCAACCTCACCCTGGATTTTTTGTTTTAAGAAGCTATCTTTTTTAGAAAGAGCATAATTATCATGTGAAGAAACCAACTTTTATAAGAGTTAACCATATGAAGTTGCCCTTTGGGTATGTCGAAAAGGTAGGATGTTGGCAATGTCATATGGTTCAATGTAAAGAAAGAAGACTGAAGCTATAGGGGAGATATACAGTATCCCTGAATAAAGATAGAATATTTTACATAAATTATTCCAAGTATATAGGTTGAACATAACTCCAGTCATAATCACAAGGTAGTTCTAAAGTTCATCAGAAAGAACAAATGACTGAGAATAATCAAGGAAATGTTGAAGAGAGGAGTGGTGAGGGGGTAGATGCCCTGTCAGACATTACAAGGTATTATAAAGCTATAGGAATTGAAATAGTGTGGCACTGGCACGAGGACAGACTGACAAATCTACAGCTCAGAATACACAGCCCCAAGACAGACTCCAGAACATATACAAATATCTAGGATGTGGTAAAAGTCGCAGCACGGAGTAGTGGGGAAAAGAGATTATTCCAAAAATGGTGCTTAAACAATTGGTAAACTATTTTTTTTTAAAAAATCAGATGATTACCTCACATCATACCTCAGGTAAATTCTAAATAAAGTGATAAGTGTAAAAATTACAACAAAAATATTTAAAGAACTATATAAGTGAATAGTCATATGATTGTGGGGTGGGGTAGGCCTTTTACACAGAAGAGCAAAGTTAGAAACCCAAAAATAGTAATATATATATATTTGCATAAAAATTTAAAAATATATATAATAACAACATAAACAGTATTAGAAGCCAACTGTCAAACTGGGAAAAATGCATGCAGTGTATGACAAAGGGTTAATATCTTTAACATATAAAGACTTCTTACCAATTAGTTAAAAAAAGCTGAATAGCCTAGAAAAATAGGCAATGGACACAGAAAATTTACAAAGAAATACAAAGGACAAATTGATATATGAAAAACATGCAATTTGCTTATAATCAATGAAATTCAAATTAAAGTAATGTGCCAGCATTTTTCAGCTATTATTAGGTTCACAAGGATTTAGAAAGTGATAGTCATAACTGTTGATGGGAGTTGAGATGGACCACCCCACTCACTGCTGGTGCAGGCGTAAACTTACAGCCTTTCTGGGGTGCAAACTTCATTAAGAGCCTTAGAATTATTTTTATCTTGTGGCCTGTATTTCTAGGAATACAGCTAAAGGGTGTCATCACAAACGTGAAAAAATACAAGGGCTTTCACTGTGGTGTTATCATACTGAAGAATTAAAAACAGCCTGAATATTAAAAAACAGAAATTGTTATTTATGGAACGATGGAGCCAGAGATTGAAGTTGTATTGCCACAAACCAAGAAATGCTTAGGGTTACCAGAAGCTGGAAGAGACAAGGAAGAATCCTCCCCCAGAGCCTTCAAAAGGGGCATGGCCCTGCCAACACCTTGATATTAAACTTCTAGCCTCCGGAACTTTGAGAAAATAAACCTGCTTTTTATTTTTTTAAGTTATGGCACATCCATATGGTGGAATGTATGTGATAATTAGAAAAGATGCTCTTAATACTTGATGGCCTGAGGCACTATCCATTATAAAATAAGTGAAAAAAACAGATACTAATTTTTATATACAGTAGGGATGCAATTTTGTGAAAAATAACCTTCCACATGCATATATTATATACTTATATTTATGCGCACACACATATGCATACACATATGAACATACACAGAAGTAAAACTATTAATCATCATAATGCATAGGTGTTGGGCTTATAGGTAATTATTATTTTCTTTCTTGTATTTTTCTGTATTTCCCAAAATTTCTATAATCTATGTGCATTCCTTTTTTTTTTTTCCGGTACGCGGGCCTCTCACTGTGGTGGCCTCTCCCGTTGCGGAGCACAGGCTCCGGACGCGCAGGCTCAGCGGCCATGGCTCACGGGCCCAGCCGCTCCGTGGCATGTGGGATCCTCCCGGACCAGGGCACGAACCCGTGTCCCCTGCATCGGCAGGCGGACTCTCAACCACTGCGCCCCCAGGGAAGCCCTCCTTTTTTTGAAATTGTGGTAAAACACACATCATAAAATTGACCATTTTAACCATTTTTAAGTGTATGTACATTACTCTTAAAATGAGGAATAATGGCCTTTATAAATAGGCATGCACTAAGCAGGCTTTAAACTTGCATCTACGTTAAAATTACAATAACGTGACAATTTAAAAAATGTGTTTGGACAAAGGACAGGAAAGGAAAGCAACCCAGACAGATGAAAAGTTTGATGGTTTGGAGCAGCAGAATTGGGTGTAATTGTGATGTGTATTGTTCTGAAGGCAGCTTTTCTTTATAGGTTGAGATAAGTACTTGCAGGCTTTTTAGTGCTGAGGTAAGTGAGGCCTGGCCTGGCAAAGAAAACCACGTGGGGAAGCCGGGGGGCCACTGAGATAGCAGAGGCACAAGTTAGAGACATGGGGAAAAACAGACTCAGTGGGGCCTGATCATTTAAAATCGGATTCAATCCCCCCAAATTAATATCCAAGCAGCTCTTCAGGAATACATCGATTGTATAAATCAAGATTTGCCCGGAAGAGGCCAGGGAGGCAGGCAAGCCCGTGGATGTGGAGTCTGAAGGGAGGCTGGCGGAGAGTGAGCAGGGTTCAGGGCAGATGCGAAGCCTTGCTTGATTCTGAGTCCACCGACTCCCACCCCTGCCCTGTGTGGACCTGCCTGTAACCCCCAACCTTACTTGGACTACTCTGATTTTTCTTTGATCAAAATCGGCTGATTCTAGGCTAAGCCAATTCCTCTCTTTGAGACCTCAGATATCAGGCTTTTGTCTCTGTGGTCTGTAGAGAAACTCTGAGTTTTCCTAGGTAACAATTAGGAAAATGCAGGGCCAATCCCACTAAGACACCGGCCCATTTCAAATGCAGTTACTTCCTCAGCAGGGGAATCAGGGACTACTGGCCCCTTGCTATTGACAGTTCCTGGCTTATTTTGGTTCTTTCCATCTGTTTCACTGAAGTATGGACAGGCTATGAAGGCAAGGGTGCCCTGTCCTCGCTGTGGAGGCCGCCTTGATGTAATGGGCAGTGGCAGCTATGAAGAGAGGAAAGAAAAGTGCTTTATAAAAGACCTAAAAAAGCAGAGGATGGGAATGGGGAGGCGGCTTGGGCTCGAGTCCATTGCCCTGAGGTTAGCAGCAGAAATGCCACGGAGTGAGGGTTTGCAGAGTGTTTGTATGAGCACTCATGAGCTCCTTGGAAACCTGGCATCGCTCAGGCTCCATGTTCTTTGCTGTTGTTACCCACCCACAAACACTGCAAGCCATCCCTCCCACATACCCACAAACGCCCCCAGACATAACTCTTCACCTGCATCTTTCTCTTCACCGTGTCGAAGGGAAAGGAGAGTGTCTGGGTCACCGCGGCAGCCAGGCAGACATTGGCAAAGTTCTGGAGGAGAGAGAACCGATCTCGGGGTCCATTCCAGATTTTCTCCAGGTTCATGTAAACTAGAAGGGAGCCAGCAGAGAAAGGGAGAGCACCTGAAAAACAAGGCCAGGGAGAGGCTGTGATGTCTCAGGAAACACTGGCTTGAGAACATAAATGCCTGTGGGGAATCCAGGGAAAGTAAACAGGACTGGCTCTGGGCTTGTTAAACAAGTCACTCCAACCGAAGCAGCAGGCACTTTCTTGGGTGATGATAACGTGCTATATTTTGATACGGGTTGTGTCATTGATCAAAATGCATGCATCAAAAGATTCCCTAAATATTTGTGTACTCTATGTCGATTTTACTTTTAAAAGAGCCATAAACAAATATTGAACTCTAGTTAATGATATGCATGTTGAAGGGTTGAGGGGTGAAGTGTATTGATGTTTGCAACTTACATGGAAATCATCAAAAAATATATGACTGATGAATGGTTAGAGGGACAGATAAAGCAAAACATTAATTGAAGGAGCTCTTATATGGTGGGTACATGGGTGTTTCCCATGTTTAATTTTTAATTAAAATTTAATTAAAATTTTTATTAAAAATTTAATAAAAATTAAACATGGGAATGTTTAATTTTTAAAATTAATTTAAATTTAATTTTAAATTTAAATTTTTTAAAAAATTAATTAATTTTTGGCTGTGTTGGGTCTTTGTTGCTGCTCGCGGGCTTTTCTCTAGTTGCGGCGAGCGGGGGCTACTCTTCGTCGTGGTGCGCAGGCTTCTCATTGCGGTGGCTTCCCTTGTTGCGGAGCACGGGCTCTAGGCACGCAGGCTTCAGTAGTTGTGGCTCACAGGCTCTAGAGTGCAGGCTCAGTAGTTGTGGCGCACGGGCTTAGTTGCTCTGTGGCATGTGGGATCTACCCGGACCAGGGCTTGAATCCGTGTCCCCTGCATTGGCAGGCGGATTCTCAACCACTCCGCCACCAGGGAAGCCCCTCCAATTCTTTTTTTAAAAATTTATTTTATTGGAGTATAGTTGATTTACAATGTTGTGTGAGTCTGCTGTACAGCAAAGTGATTCAGTGATACATATATATTCTTTTTCATATTCATTTCCATTATGGTTTTTTACAGGATATTGAATATAGTTCCCTGTGCTATACAATAGGACCTTGTTGTTTATCCAGGCTGTTTCCAATTCTCTTAACTTTTCTGGGTGTTTGAATTTAAAAAAATAGAGTGTTGGGGGAAAAAAAATCTCTCCCATGAAAAAAAAGTTAGTGGGCGGTACTTAATGAAGTTTTGGAGACTAGGGGGGACCTGATCACTAGCTGAGAAGGAAACATTCTGTGAAACCTTTAGAGTGAGGTAGCATGAGATGTGGCCATATCAGGGCTCAGTGGGTACCCTGCACTGTATGGCAGCCTCGCCTTTCTAGGAAAAGATGGTGAGCAAGTAGTGCAGTAGTTGGCACCTTGAAACTTCCAGAAACTTTGGGAGCAATCCGAAGTTTACGCAGGGACTAAATTTCTCCCTCAAAATGAGATTTAAAAGAGGGGCTAACACTAGTGGGGTTGCTCATCTTTAGAAAAATGCAATATTTATTTAATGAACACATTAAAAATGATGCACCAACCCTACATTTTCCTTCATTCAGAAAACATCTGTGGAGCTTATGCTATGTGATGGGCCCTATGCCAGGTGCCAGGAATATACAGAGGTGTTAAGTAGGCTAATTCCTGGAGATGCTCACCATCTAGTGGGAGAGACAGACAGATGACATATGCCATAGTAAGGGGGCTATACAAAGTGCTTTAGGTACACAAGGATCAGAGGGATTAATTTTGCCTGGGGGAATCAAGAAGGACTTCACAGAAGAGAGAACTTTTCAACTGGGTGTTGAGGAATGAGTAGGAGTTCATCAGACATTGGGAGAGCAGGCAGAGGGAACAGCATGTACAAAGAGAGTGGTGTTTCCAAGACATGCAAGTATTTCTAGATGGCCAAAGCAGGAGTGCAGGTAGAACCTGACAGGAGATGAGGTAGGAGGGGCTGGCAGGGCCAGGTCTGAAGGATCTAGTATGCCACAAGGAATCTGGGCTTTTCCCTGCAGCTCACAGGAGTCAGTGAAGGCTTTTAAGGAGGGCAGTGGAAAGAGGTTGGTGAAATGATCAACTTGCACTTAGAAAGATCATCACACCCTGGCAGCAGGGCACAGGGCGGACTAGGGCAGCAGAGACCCAAGACTGGGACTAGGTACGAGCCTCTCGTAAGTGTCTGCAGGAAAGATGAGGATGAGACTGTGACCCATGGCAGAGAAGATGGGGATGGAGAAGGGGGCAGACCTGAGAGTTAAAAGAGGTGAAATTGACAACACTTGTGGCTGAAGTGGGCGTGGAGTGAGAGGAGGAGTTGGAGTTGAAGTGATTCTAGGTTTCTTCTGGCTTGGGCCACTGGGTGAAAGAAAGGCGGTCTGGTTCATTAGGGAACACAGGAGGGGGGCAGGTGTGTGACTAACGAGGTCATCAGGTTTACTCTTGACTTCAGTAAGCCAAGGGAGCATCTGGTGAGGGTGTCCAATAGCAGGCATTTGTACTGCCATTGGGAAGTGGTAGTAGTCAGTGGTTAAGAGAGAGGGCTCTGGGGTTATATTGCTAGATTCTTCCACTTTCTATCTGTGACCTTGGGCAAGTCACTTAGCTTCCCCAAGCATCTATTTCATCTGTAAAATGAGGCTTAAATGAGGAACTGTACGCAAACCATTTAGCACAGTGCCTGGCACATAGTAAACTGCACTAGATGTTAGTCGTTGTTATTATAGAGATGAGATTGGGAGTCATTAGAGTATAATGATGCTTGTTCAAGCCACTAGCTTAGATGAGGCCACCCAGGGAGGGTATGGAGGGTGAGAAGAAAGCTAAGGCAGGAGCTGGGGGATAGTGACACACAGGGGGCTGGCATCGTCAGATGAGCCAGATAAGAAAGAGCTGTAGAGAGGTGGGAAAGACATCTAGGAGACAGTGGGGTCCCAGAAGCCAAGTTTCCAGAATAGAGTGCTCGATCTCAACAAATGCTGCAACAAAGGTCGGATAAAAGGCAAAAGTCTACTGGACTGGCAATTGGGGGTCCTGGTGACCTGTGCACGTGTAGCCCTGGCAAAGGTTCCAAAGAACACAGAAGCTACAGTTGCTACCCTGGTTGTGTTCATACGTGTACCGATGCACCCAGAGACTCTTTCCTGCAGTCAGATGAGGAGTGTGTGGGACTGTCTTCTTATCAATTTGTGCTGAGCCACATGCACTCTGTCCTACTCCCTCCCTGGGATATAACAGACCAGAGTTAGGAGTGGGGTGTATGGCTATGGAATAGAATGAAGCTAATGGACTCTGTGTGGATTGAATCCATATGACCTTGAACTCGGTTAAGTGGATTTAACTGGTTACAAACAAAGGTATACAATACATTCATATATATATATCCCTTGAACTCAGTAAAATGGATTTAACTGGTTACCAACAAAGGTATACAAGTCATTTGCATGTATCAAAGAACACAGTCTTTTCTTGGACAAGGTGAAAAGTTCCATCTTACCTAAAATAGTAAGGGAAACCCCTCGATAAAGGGCCAGGAACCCTTCCTGTTGATAAATAGTAGAAAAAGCATGGAGGATCCCCCTGTAAGATGGTTCCAGCATGTTCTGCACAATTAACCGGGTTTTGATGAGGTCTGTAGGATATGTCACGATGGTGGAAACCATGCCCGCAAGACTCCCAGCCATGATGGACCTCCACTGGGAGATGTGGCCCAGGTCATCCGTGAACAGCACAACAAACCTGGGAGAAAATAGGGAGAAAAGCCCAAGGGAATCAGCCATGGATTGTGCTAGAGTGCTCGATGCTACTTATTGCACCATTTCCCTGCATTTGGAAATGCTTTACAGAATGAAAATTACTAATGTATTAGGATTAATGAATAACACATTCAATTCGACACATTCAATTATGTTCATAGTAATGAATATAATTCTAATTATATAAAATCAGCTGTTATAGTTTATATAACAGCTATAAGGAAGAGATACCTAACCCTCTTATTGCTACCTACCCTAAGTCCTCACTTCATTTCAAGCATTTCCCCCTTTTATCTGCGTAACTGTCAACCCTGGCTTGCCTGTGGGGTGTAAATGAACAGAAATACTTCGTAAATATGGAACTGGAATGTGCTCCTTTGATTCTGTTGCAACGTAAATGAAATTGCTTGAAATGATGACTTTGAGCATCCCTAGTCATTGAGTTTTAAAACATATATTGGTTTAATAATTATAAGAGAAGATGTGCCACCCCGCCAACTGTCAGGGAAATAACAAATAAGAGCAATAACACAATATTACTTCTCAACCAGCAGACCAGCAAAGATTAAAAAGTCTGATAACATCAACTGATGGTGGGAAAGTGTGGAAACAGGAATGC